GAAAGGGTCGTTCGACCCTCAAAGGGGTTGTGACCCACAGGTTGAGAACCGCTGGTTTAGAAGTTCAACTTTTCAAGAACACATATGTAAGCAGGAAATGGAGTAAGTGGTCCAACTTTGCAACACAGCGCATGTGCAACCATTTCTTAGATTGAAACTAGAAGGAAAAAGGAAGGAAGGAGATGAGGGAGCCAGGGAGGGAGGAAGAGAGAGAGAAGGAAAACAAAACAAGAGGTCGTCACTCTTCCTGAGGATGCATTATTGGGTCAGCTAATGACGTGATATCTTAAGCAGCTGGTTGTCCAGATCCGAGACCAGCACTCTGTGCTACCTTCCACTAGAAATGTGAATCGCATACAGCACACAGACATGGATGGACTGGGTTTATTTCATCCCCAGTAGCCCTTTGAGACAGACCTCAGATGTTGTAAGTGACAAGCATGGTGTCTGACCCCACGTGAGAGAAATGGCATGCCACCAGAAAGTATTTCTCTCCGACGGGCTTCCTAAGAAGATGGACCCAGTGTCCCTGGTTCTGTAGCAGACAGACAGGTGCCTGTGTGCATATAGCGCCTGCTGACTTGAGACTTGAGCTGTTCTAAAATATCTAGTCTCCTTGATGGATGCGGACCTAGAGACATCAAGAGATGGGACAGTTTTCTGAGACAGCAGGGCTGCTTGGCGACAGTGGCAGGCTGCAGCCACTCGATATGGCCGCAGTCAGCACGCTGGGTGTGACCTCAGGCCCCGAAGCTCCCTTGGGTTGTCTGAAAAGTGGGGAGTCATCGTTCTTACTCACGGGGCTTTCAGGGCGGTGACGTGGCCTCACTCTGTAAAATGCATGCTGCAGCATTTTGAAACAGCTCAGCGAGAGTTCAGCCGGTGGCCTCCTTGCCCCCTCCACCCTCTTTCCCAGATAAAGGATTTGTTCTGTTTTCTTCCCTAAAAACTTTATGCTGCAGCAGCAGTAGCTGTAAGTTCCAGAGAACTCTTGTCCCTTCCTGAAGAAAACACCAGAGGGTCCTGAAGCAGCCTGCGGGCTGGGAGGTGCAAAAAGTAAACTCGCCCGTGAGCAGTCTTGTTAATGTGCAGGATGCACTAGAAAGTATTTGTTGCAGGTGCAGTTAGGTTAAAATTTAGCACCCTATCAGTTGATCGCCCTTATGAGCCATTTAAATTTGTTTCAGTTTTGACTATTTTCTGCTTTCGCTTTGAGGC